ACTAATATGCCTTGTGAGACTCTACAAGGGGCTATTGCCCCCAACTGCATAGCTCCCATGATCACATGGACACTTAAACCCCTCCACCACTTTAAGGTGGCAATTCCTAAGGGAGGACATCCATTGTATTTCTAACCTCTCTTATACATCATATTGGAGTCTATGCCCCTTAAACTCGATGGAAAAAGGTTGTGAAATTTGTCACACTGATTTGTCAGTCTCCTTATTCTTATCACCAAGTTTCATGTTTGTGCCAAAGGTGGAAGTGTGTTTCTGCACAAAATGTTTGAACCTTATGCCCGTATTCAGAGCAGTTCAAAAAACCTAAGAATGACAATTTCTGCCATATTTGATTATCCACCTTATAGGATTTATTTAAAAAGTTCTATAACGTCTGGACTGGCCACACTTCTTTACAATCTTCCCCAAAACTGACACTGATGACCGTTTGTCCAAGCCTCACAAAAGTTAGATCTCTGATTTTCAAATAAGTGTTCATCTGTCAAAGCCACTCGAAACTTGCAACAAGTTAGATCATATCTCAGCAACTGTTTCATCTACTGATTTCCAACTTGGTGTATGGACCTAACACTCCTTTATGAGGTTGCAAATGCATTATGTAACTTACAGCCATGGGAAGGACTACAATAAACAGAATTGCACTTTTTCTGCTTTCATTAGTTGTCATGGCAACTGTGCCCTTCTGAGCTGATTGAACCCTTTGTTGCTGCTTGCTGCAGCTATATTGCGGTAAAGAGCTAAAATGTGTTTTCTTCACATTGAACAGACATTTCTCACTACGTTCACCAAGAAATCAACTTGGATTGGTTTGACTGACAGAAAAACAGAAGGGAGCTGGGTGTGGGTAGATGGAACTCCTCTGACGTTGCAGTAAAGGTTCACTTTGGTTCAGAATTGATATTAACATACACACTGGGACACAAATACTTCAACAACTGAACAAACTCACACCATATTTGATATTTTATCATCTTGTAAACATTTTACAGTAAATACCATGGCACAGAAATACTCCATTCACGCATCCACGAGACGTGAACCCAACATAAGCATTCATTGTGAGTTTTCAGACAGCAGCAAGACTGAAAGATGTTAAAATGCTTGAAAGAGCTGCAGTGTTGGGTCATAATTCTCAGTGGATTCATCATCCAAAGCATAGGCTTTTTTTTTTCTTTTTCTAACACACGTGTCATAATTACAATAAAACCTTTGGTTTTTGCTTGTATTTATATATGTTTTTATTTCCTCTCCTCTGTTGTTCACTGATCTGCCAGCTATTGGGCGAACAACCAGTCTGACAACGGTGGTGGAAGTACACGGTGGGGTGAAGAAGACTGTGCACAAATCAGAACTGACGACACAACTCATTAGAATGATCTTTCATGTACAACGTCTCTGCAGTGGATCTGTGGAAAAACTACCATAAGGTAGCTGCATTATTATTTAGGGATCATATATATTTGAAGGTCATATATATAAAAAATAATTGTGATAATTTCAGGTTTTTATATTGAATAGTTCCAGAAATATTGTCATTCAAACATAGCCTTAAAATGTAATGCCTGAAAAGACTTGCTGAAAGTGGGTCTTTGGGCAGTTTTGTTAAAAATACATCTCAGAAAGTGTTACACATATTAGTCTAAAATGTCACAAATATCCTTATATATATCTAGACTTTATGATTAAAAAAGATTTCAGGCAAATCAGAAACTGTCGAATGGAAATTGTTCTGAAAATTTGATGATTTCAGATGGAACAACCCTTTTGAGAATCAAACCGGGTGACTTTTACATTAGGAAGCTGTTGGTTCTGTAGCGCACAGAGCTGCAGTCTGACTGAGTCTGTGGTGACTGTTACATGAGAAACAGCATCAACAAA